TCCCCCACAAGCTCCCAGTCGGTGACTCAGACCGTCAACGGCTCTCACAGTTTCACTATCAAGGGCTATTCCTTGGCCAAGGGCACGGGCATCGGGAAGCACATAGCCAGCGAGAGCTTCACCGTCGGCGGCTACCAGTGGGCCATCTACTTCTATCCCGATGGTAAAAACCCGGAAGACAATTCTACTTATGTCTCCGTTTTCGTTGCCCTAGCCAGTGAGGGCACCGACGTCAGGGCTCTCTTCGAGCTCACACTTTTGGATCAGAGTGGAAGGGGCAAGCATAAAGTGCATAGCCATTTTGATCGCGCTCTCGAGAGCGGCCCTTATACGCTCAAGTATCAGGGCAGTATGTGGTGAGTTGATTCTTCAAGAAATTGTTGTGGATTCTATTTCATTCTTAGACAACGTAGATTATAAATAGGATACATGAATTTGTTTAGCTTATATAGTTATCTAAGAAAATTTTCTTAAAACTATATGAAAAAGTATGTAATTTGCAAGGTGATTCATGCCCTAGATAGATCTTAGAACAAAGGAAGCCTGTGGAGATCATCATGAGGTAATTAAATTGTGATCAATTGATTATCTAATACGGAAAAAAATATAAAGAAATGATTAATGACATGCATAACTCAAAAAACTCTGAACTTGTTGACTGGGAATGACTAGGAGAAGGAATTAACAAACAGAATGGAATTTCTATACTTATTGAACTGTTTTTTAATCTTGATTAACTCTTTGAGGGAGTGAATCTTGTTTAAAATGAGTAGGAATTGTATCCATTTTTATATCAAGAAGATTCAATGAAGTTTCGAAGCTATTATAAACCTAGATTTATAAAGTTTTCCTCCACAATTATTGAACTTATGAAAGATGTTTAAATTCAAGAATACCTTTCTTGATGGAGTTCTTGAAAATCATAACTCCAATATCAAGGCAAAAAGTAGGTAGGTAAGTTCTATGTATTATCTTCACCTCCTCCACGATAGATCTTGCCATATTAAATTATGCCGCTGTGATGCAACCCTTGTCCATAAGACATATTCAAATTTTACGTGTTATCTATCTCTGTCTTTCTCTAACTTAGGGAATCTATGTGGAAATTTTCATTTATTCATGTTTATAAATCACATATTGCACTTTAATACCCCCATGTTGTTATTGTTTCAGATCTTAAAATGGATTTATTTTTAAATGGCACATGCGAAAAATAAGCACGTGGTTGTCCTGGCTGCACAATGCAGTCATTTTCTTCCTATTGTGGGAATCCCGAAATTCTATGCCTCCTTTTTTTTCCTTCTTTTCTCTCTGTCTGATCATATATGAGGTAGCAGCCTACTTGAGGATTCCTTGTTATCCATATTTCATTTTCCAGCTTTCATGCCTTTTCTTCTGTAATTTTACCTCCTCTTTTTATAACTTGTGATCTCTTCTTTGAGTGAAGATGAGGGTGATTTGGGTTAGAGATGAAAATAGTTTTAGGAAAATACCATGAATTAACTTGTTCTAGTGGACTGTGTTCTTTATTTTTCTAGCCCATACGAAATTATGAGAAATCTCTACCTAACAAAAAAGGGGGAAGCCAGTGTAAGGTTCGTCTTGTTTTTGTCTTTCTCAGTGGCACAAACAAGTTAATGCCTCTATCTTTACCAGTTATTTTGTGCATCAACATTAAAGGCACTCTAATTTCTGTGCATTTCTGTGCTTGATACATGCAAGGTTTCTATATTCTCTACTGTGGTCCTATTTGCACTTTGGGATGTTGCATGGATACAGCAGTTTGTTGTTTGGAAAGCCCAATCATTAAAAATTAGATTTGTTCTCCATAGTGAGATTTCATTCAGAGGATTTTTAGCTTACATATCTTCTGTTGTCTGTCATTGATTGTTAAATATTTTAGGATCTTATTATGGAAGATAGGAGATATGCTAATCCTCATTTTCCATATATGACCAAGAATTAAATCTGCATTTTTGACAGATTTAGAGTGAGGTTTCTTTGCAAACAGTAAACTATTCAATTCCATAGTGAGTTTTCATTCATGGGACCTCTTGAGCCTAATTATCTTATGTTGTCTATTTGTCACTAATTGTTAAAGGTTTAACATCTTACCATGGAAGATAGGAGATATGCTTATTATTGCATTTGCCATAAATGAATGAGAATCTGGAGACTTAAAACTTGTGTGAACCTGGCCTGGATTTGAGGTCTATGCCATAAGATGTCAAATTTTAGATTTCGAGTGTGTTTATGTGCATTCTACATAGACTCTTTCAAGCAATGCCACCTTTGGCAGCATTCATTATGTTAACTGATACTAAGTACTTTATACTGAAAAAAGGTATTCTCCCTGAATGTGGAATGGGTTGAGTTTTGCACTGTTATAGTGTTACCAATCTTAAGCTGTCAGTCCCTTCACACTGAAGCTGTTAGCAAACACAATTGAGCTTATGCAGTATGCTTGCAAAGTGGGTTTGAGGGTTTTGAAATTATTATGGATCTGTATTGGGGTATCTTATATTTCAAGTTCTCTTCATCCTCATGTCTTCTCTCTTTTTACTCTTTCCAGAGTACTCTCGATACTCTTATGGCAATTGCAGCATTGGCTTCTTGTGGTGCTATCTGTTCACTAGTTCCTTCAAATATTTGTGGTCTGCTAGAACCTATGCCTTGCAAATATTTGTGGTGGCATCCCCTGGATAGGTTCATGTTTATGAACTGACTAGCAATCTCACCCTCCCCACCCCTGGATTTTATCGTTAACTTCTCCCCTCTCAGACACCTATGAGTGAGTTGTATTATAGTGGTACAAATTCTGAACCTGGTTTGAATAAATACAACTTGAAGTTAAATTCATGGATGGAAGGTGGTATGTAGCTATGTATAGTAGTTTCTTTAGCAGCAGTTGATGATGGAAGGTGGCCACAACCTAATTTCAAACAAATCAACTTGACTTGAAGTTAAATGGGTGGATGAATGGTGCGTGTGTTATGATTTTGTTGCAGTTGGAGGTATAAAGTTATGTAATGGTTATAATGAAAGATTTTACTAGGAGAAGGAACTGCTGTTAGCTAAGTCCTCTTTATGATGCCTGGCTGTTAGTGGTTGATTCAACAGTTTCCCATGCTTTTTATTTATGTTTATGTATTTATGTGTTTGAATTTAACTTTCCGGTCTAAAAGCTGAACCCTTTTTCTGCAGGGATCAATTCAGGCAGGCTATTGTAAAGCACGGCTGTGCTGAGTTTCTTAGTAGGTCTCGAAGAACGTATCCTAAAGAGAAGTTGTGGAATAGTCCAACGAGTCCACCGGCATGGTCAAACTCTTCTGTTAAAGGTATCATATCATTCTGTCTTATTACAGGGCCTGTTGCTTCCGAACTTGATTGTACAGTAGCTCATCTATTTTATTTGGTTCTGTTTGGCTGTCCTGTCACAGGTGTACTTTCAGCCTCTACCAGTTCAGGGACAAAGAAACCTGGTGTACTACTCAACTCTCCACGTAGACACGGTAATCAGAAGAAGTTCACAAGGCAAGAATGGGAAAGATTTCACTCGAGAATCAACCCAAATAACTGTGGCAGAACTGGCAGCAACTCCAGAATTCACTGACTGGGTCATCGAGCGTGCAGACCGTATAAAGCTCATTTCAAATGACAGTTCCGATGAATCAATTGGGAGCAAATCGAGTTCTATAGACGAAGAAGCTGAAGAGAGCAGCAGTCAGTTTAGATTCTTTAGTTGGAAACCATGAAGTTGAAGATAGCATTAACCGGGAATTACACAAGAACATGTTAAATTAGCATCAAATTTAGGAAATTTAGCAGCCATTTGCCAAGTGCAATCTCTGTGAGCATTTAGCATGACATTTTCCAAAAAATTAACTGACCACGTAAAGCAGACGGTGAGACTGTTTACCATTTGATGTAACTTGAGTAATGTACAGACGAAGCTAGGAGAACTGCAGGTATGTAATTTAGTTTTTTTTGTAGTATATGCAAATTCGATTCGTTATACCATTTGTTACAATAATTTATGGGGCCACACCAATATATCTTAGAGCATGAATCATTCAACAAAGAATTGGGAGAAACCAAGTTCATGGAGATACTGAGGACCATTATTATAATCGAGCCTCTCATTAATTACATCAAAAGTCAAAGTTTCTATAACAAATGAAAGTGATACATTTACAATGTTTTGTAGTATTGACATGTGATTATACAATTAATTTTTTTATTTTTTTATATTTAATAGAGTTAGAAATCCAGATTGATATGTATTATTTTCTTATAAATATAAAATCACAACTTTACAAGTATTTATAGATTTACTCCTTTACCCTCAATAGAAAATACAAATTCGACCTCAAGACCCTATCATGCATCTATAGCATTATATTAACTCTATGTTAGATATACTTAAGACCAAAATGGCTAACTCAGAAGCTAGAATAGTGTTTTCTCAATAATCCTTAA